GTGAGTGCATTTAGTACATTTAATTTGACCTCCCCAAATGATGCCACTCACTAGACTGAGTATTGATTTAATAGGTGGGAATGATCACAGTCCACTTTGTTAGACCAATTAATCTCCACATTCTGCAAATGTGCACTCAACACCACAAACGAACTACTGCAGAGAGAGGTCTTTAGACTAGCTTCAAAAGACGGTATCATGTGATAGCAACTGGACACAGAAATACTTCCACTGACTTCCAGACCCATCATTCATTCTTGTTATTGTTTTAGTATCTCCTAATATGGTAGTTTAAAATATCTTTGCAAGGGAGTAACGACATGGTTCAGTGAGCAAAGCATTCTCTGCACAAGCGTGAGGACCTGGGTTCAGGGTCCTTGTCAAGATGGACAGCTTAGCACATTTCTGTGATTTTTAATCCTCCTCAAGCAAAATGGATATAGATGGGGACAGGGATTGGGGGAGATGGGAGAATCCCCAGAGCTTTGGAACCAACAAACTTGGAATACCCCACATCCAAACAAAGTAAAGAGTGAAGACTGACACAGAATCTGTCCTCTGACTTCTATGGATGTGCTGTGGCAGTTGTGCATGTGTGCACACACTCGCACGCACGCGCGCGCACACACACACACACACACACACACACACACACACACACATCTACCTCTACTTTTTTTTTTTTTCTGTTGTGTGATTCTTTTAGGGGCAAAGAATTGGTAACAGAAAGTTTGTTTTCATCTTGTCTGTGTTTCTCACGTCCCCATCTCTTGACTTCTCTGGAATTCTAAGCGTGGTCTCTCCATACTCTTAGTTACCTCTAATCTTTTGAGGAGGAAATCAAACGAAGCTAATATCTAAACAATTACCAGCAGTGGGAAGACAGCAAAGGGAAGAATATTGCCCAGAAGTCTAGAAACCTAAGTCGAAGTCTGAGCTGTGCTACAAACTGGCTGTGCAGTCTTAAGCTAATGACATCATTTCTCTGGATCCAGTTTCCTTATTTGTAACACTTTATTAATCAGTTCCAAAACTCTTTCAAACTAAAAGTATAATAAATCCTTCACTTTTGTTTATCAAAAATTATACCCCCCATGGAAATTATCCTATGGCTCCACCTGTTTTCCATAGGTAGTAAAGAGTATGGAATACTATAAATATGCCTATCACAACCAGGCATGCTGGTGCACACATTTAATCTCAGTATGTCAGAGGTAGAGGAAGGCAGATCTCTGAGAGTTCAAGATGAGTCTATCTACGTAGCAAGTTTTAAGACAGCTGGTGATATACAGTGAGACCCTACCTCAAACAGCAAGCAAACAAACACAAAAATGGCAAAACTATGCATACCAAAACTACAGTATTTAAAATTCTAAGACACTTGCTGGAATTTCAAGAATGTATAGAATCTGTGAGAAAATGTCCACATAGTGTGTCATCAATAAATATTGCTTTGCATTCTCAATTTATGTAACTTTCTCTGAAAAGTCCTGTTTGATTCAAAATCTCTTCATGAGGCCCTATGAAATAGTAGGATATGAAGTTTGTGGTGAAAACAGATTCAATTTCTGGCCCCAACACACATTAGCTAAATTATTAGCTTTGTGATTTTCAATATGTTATTTAATCTCTCTAAATTGCTACAGTTTTGTGTCAATAAAATAGAGTATTGAATGCATTTTCAAAAATCATTCCTTCTATATTTATAATTTGTCCTGTCCAAATTATACCTCAGTGTCTTGTTATTTCTATACAGTCTATACCCCAATAGAGTCTCTTGCCAAATTTAGACATTTAGAATATTGCCTACTCTATCTTATTATATTCCTAGGCAATAACTTAGGAGCCATCTTGTGTTTTGATTCTTCTCAACAAATGTTTTATATCAATAATTACATCAGTTGAAGGTGACACTTAGCCAGCAATAAACAAACAAATTCACATGTTATCTTTTATAAAAATATGGATATATACAAACACAAATATCCACACATACATTCAGAAACACTTGTATGCACATGAACATGCATGTGTACACATTTTAAAAGTATGTTAGCCATAAAGGCAAAATACCTCTGTTCATTTCACAAGTTGATTCAGTGACAGCAGGAGTAATGACCACTGTCCTTAAGAAAGCATCTTGTACAATTATTCTACTTAGAAAAGATTACATGTTTTTAGAAGAAAATTTAAAAATGAGAAAGAATTCTAGCCTTCACTATTCTAAAAGAAAATAGTATTTTAGTACATAGCCACTCATGGTTTTTATCCCATGTGTATGTGACAAATTATGCATAACTTCTATATATCATATGATATTTAATCAGATTAAAAAGATAGTGATAGGAATCCCTCACATGATGGTAACCACCTGTAATCTCAGCACCCAGGAAGTGGAGGCAGGAAGATCCAGTTGGTTGCAAGCCTGCGGTGTGGTGAGATTCTTGTCTACAAATATTAGTAGTAGCAGCAGTAGTAGTGGTAACAGAAATAAGTCCTGAAGTTGGGAGTAAGTTGAGAGGTCGGGTGTGTCTGGGAGGAGTTCAAGAGATGGGTGTACTGAATATGATGCAAATGCACAGAATGAATTAATAAAATACCGTGTTACGCAGTTTAACAGGGAAGGATCTTAATGAATGGCACTTGAGCCATCTCTCTTCATCTCTGTTATTTATTTATCTTTTTACTTGCTGTTAAAATGTCTTTTAAGATATTTTAAGCTATTTTGCATTCATTTTTGTCATCAAGTATTAAGTCCACATGGTGTGGTCTGATGCTTTGGTTATTTCTATAGTACATTTTGCATCATCAATAAAGTACTGACTCTTTAAGCAGACAAATATTCAAATCTGTGTCAGGATAAGTTCACAGGAGTGTAATTGGTTATTCAAAGCATGCAACAGTTTGAAAGCTTAGGATAAATATTGACCAAATGATCTTCATAAAAGCTATACCTATTGTTCCCACAGCAAATTTACTCATGATCTCACACATTCACTCTAACACTGGGGCTTATTATTTAGAAAGAAATTCTTGTCACCGTCAGAGATGAAAGCTGCTACCTGTTCTTGATTTTTAATTGGTATTTATTTGCTGACTTGTAGCCCTTCAGATTTTCCTCCCCTGAGGAACTGTTTAATGCCCTATGTCCATTTGCCTACCAGGGCAGGCTTCCATATTTTATCTACATTCTACACTGAAAATGAAAGCATCATTCGAGTGCTAAACTCAGCCTAAATCCCATTGTGATACAAAGTAATTGAAGGTAGTTAATGCTATTTACAAATCATAGATCAGTTTTATTTCACCATGGAAATAAAAAGTTACATTCACAATTAAGTCAGTCTGCTCAGTAGAACTCAGTCAAGTAAGACAAACACTCCTAAATTTTGACTCTAAAAACTGCTTGCATTCTTATGGCTGCAAAACACTATTCCAACCTCATCACAAAAGCACCTAATACATTTCTATGTCCACTTCATTTATTACCTGCCATAAAGGGGCTGCATATCTTTAGCACTGGTTATGCACAATTAGCACTTGGTGATTGTCTTGTCACTGTGGTCCTTCCAAGACAAACTTCCTCAATGCAGGAAGTCAGCTCATCTTCATCAGTCAAGCAGAGCACACAGATGTGGTCACCCTGAATACAGAAGAGTTTCAAGAGAGGAGATGCTCCTCTTCCCCTGAACCTTGCTGTGGAGGCACATTCAGTGTGCCATGTCCTGACAAAACCTGTGCAAAGTCTTGTCCAGCACTCATTTTTTTTCCAGAGAAACAGGAGGGAAAGAGGTCATTTGGATATTTCTCCTTAACCAAACTTTGCTAACATTTCAAACTACAGAATTATAGAAGTTTATGGATTTTATTTAATATACACCTTAATTTTGTTTTTCAGCATGTGTTTATTGTATGGATTTATTTATCTTTATAGTCCTGGGGATTGAACCCAGAGCTTCGTACATTCTTGACAGGCACTCTACCACTGAACTGCACCCACAGCCTTCTTTTTCCTTTTCTTTGGAGAGAGGGAACACTAAGTTTTCCAGTTTTGCTATGAAATCACTCTATAGCCTATGCAGGTCTTGAACTTGGGATCCTTCTGCTTCAGCCCCCCGAGTAGCAGGCATGAAAGGCCTGTGCTACATTATCCATTTTATCTTCACTCTTATGTCTAAATATGAAGATCCAAAGTATTTCCAAATATTTTTTTTTCAAGACAATTCAGTTCTACATATCAGCCACGGATTACCTTGTTCTCCCCCCTCCCGCTCCCCTCACCTTCCCCCCAGCCCGCCCCCCATTCCTATCTCCTCCAGGGCAAAGCCTTCCCCACAGACTGAGATCAACCTGGTAGACTCAGTCCAGGTAGGTCCAGTCCCCTCCTCCCAGGCCTAGTCAAGCGATCCTGCATAGGCCCCAGGTTTCAAACAGCCAACTCATGCAATGAGCACAGGACCCGGTCCCACTGCCTGGATGCCTCCCAAACACATCAGGCCAATCAACTGTCTCACCCACTCAGAGGGCCTGGTCCAGTTGGTGATCAGCCATTGGTTCATAGTTCATGTGTTTCCATTCATTTGGCTATAAACATTATTAAAAGGAGCTGGGGAGAATTGTCATCAAGTAAAGTGCTTACCACAGTAGCAAGAAGGCCTGAGCTGGATCCACAGCACCTATATAAAAATCCAGGCAAGTAGTTGCACACCTGTAACCTCAACTTGGGTGGTGATGCAGGAACAGGCAGCTCACTTGCACACTTGCCCATTTAGCTGAATACGTGAACTCTGCATTCAGTGGGAGGCTGTCTTAAAGTAAAGAAGGTCCAGCAAGAGGGCTGAGTAAACAAAAACACTTTCCAACAAGCTTGAGAATCTGAGTGTGATTCTTGAAATCCACAATGTAGAAAAACTAACTCCCTTAAATAGTACTCTGACCTCTACACATGGTGTAGTACTTGCATATCAATGCCCCTAAAAAGAGAGAGAGAGAGTCCCAAT